GTGTACCAATATAGTAACATGCATTATCAATGCATTTGCCTTCATTCCAACAACAATGAAATTATTTCTATAGGTATTTTAAACTAAAACTCTAAAACAAACAAAAAAAGTGTGCATCAAAAGTATCATTATTTCCATATTGGAGAAGTCAACACAGACACATAGGCAAATAACACATTAAAAAATATTGAACATTATATTTTCAAAACTGTGCCTTGAAATGTTTGTAAAACAAAAGCTTGTTTTGTGCACTCAACTATTTTTCCATATTTAACAAAATGGGAGATGACTGTGACTGCCTAGATCCTGCTCTCTCCATACCTCCTCCAGAAATTCATAAAAAGGAAAAATACACACGATTTATCTTTCCCATGTAAATAGAAAATAAAGAAATTACAAGCTGAAATTTTTTCTAAGTGGGGTGATAAGTATCCAGGACCAACACAACCCAGGCGGAACTCTCCCTCATCCAGAGGGAATATATGGAAACTTAATGGATAAGGAAGAAGTGGAAGTCCCCTGGTAATGAAAGAATCGATGTATTATCAACAAGACCTTTAGGAAGACAGCATCATCCTGAGTGGGCTGACAGTGCTGAGACCAAGTATATAAGTTGAATTAATAAATGCAAATGGCCATAGTCTATATAAGAGGAAAAACATTTAAGCCTGGATCACAAAAGAAAACCCAAATCTATGCTGTACAGAAACACTCCCCTAAAACAAAGTGATTCAGAAAGGTTAAAGAAAATTATTTTTTAAATGGCCAAGTAGGCAAATAAAAACACAAAGAAACCATATCATACAAGGTAGAATTTAGTCTCAAGAGCATTAAAGAGAAAAAAAAAAGGGAACTTAGAATTTTCAAGGTTAAAACTCACAATGAAAATAACACAGTTCAGAACATCTATGAAATTATATGGAGCAACACTTATAAAGCAGAAATCAAAGCATACACAAAAATAAGTAGGCTGATAAAATACAGACAAATTTAAACTAGCTCAAGTCCCTCAGTCCGAGGTAGATCACGTAGACATAGAACACCTAAAACAAATGATCACTAAGGGAGAGCTTAAAGATGAAAACATAAACTACATTACAATAATAAAAAATAATAATAATCTCCTTCTCAAGTACACATGAAACGTTCCTGAAAATTGACATGTTAGAAAACCACAGCAAGTTCCAAAAAAGCAGAAATGGCACAAAACCATTCTTTGACTATAATGCAATAAAACTAGAAAGAGTAACAACAACAACAAAAAAGGCCTTTCCATATGGAAATTTAAAATCTTAGCTAAGATAAAATACATCATAAAATTGGGGAACTGATGAAAATATCAGAAGTTATGGACTAAGCAGTTGTCAGAGGAAAATTTATACACTTAAGTATTTATGTCAACACTGAAGAAGGATAAAAAATAAAGGGATTAAATATTTAACTCAAAAAGAAAACCATAATAAACAAAAGAAAAGCAGAAGAAACCGCTATTAACATATGGAAGGAATACAAAGTGGTATAAACCATATAAAAGGTATCTGGCAATATCTTCTTAAATTACAGATGTCCTTTGTCCCAACAGTATCTATGCGGGAAACTAACCTAAAAATATATCTGACAAATTATGAAATGATGTAGGTATCAGAGTAGTCATTATGGCAATGTGGAAGGCTAGAAAGCATCCAATGTCTACCAAACAGGGACAAGTGAAATAAACTCTGGTCCATCCACATAATCGAATCCCATACAGCTATGGAAAAAGAATGCTATGAACTCCAAAACATGTTGTTTAGTGATAAAAGCAAGACAAAGCACTTAAAATGTTCTATATTTTCTGAAAGCAAGGATTAGCATATATACATATATTTCTTAGCTATATATATGTATGTATATATGTATATTTATATACACACATAGACATATGTGCTACACACATATATACATATATATGTTATATATGAATACATACAAAATCATCTACATATAAAAGTAGATGGGAGAACAGAGTGAAAAAGACAGGGATGAAAACACAATCTTTGAGCATACCTTTTTAAAATGTAGTTTAACTTTGGAACATCTGTTTTACATATGAAAAATTAAATTGAATCAAATGGGAAAAGTGAACTAATTATATTTTAAATTCATAACGAGTGCAAAGGTAAAACACTTCAGGTATCACCTTGAGGACAAAGTGCAAGGGCAAAAAGAAATGCAAATAAATCTTAAAACATTAATTTAGTTTTATATTTAGTAATATTGGCATTGTTGTTTTGAAGGTATTTTATAGACATTATAAGAGAGAGTGACTAGTTATATTAATGTTGTTATCAACCAAAGATTACAGTGTAAGAGACGGGAATACAACTATAAAGTATAAAAAATAAATTTGAATTGAAGGTATCAATATTTTATATCTTCAATTAAATTCACAGGACAGGACAATTTGAGTATCAAAAGGTATAATAAAGCAATTGACTGAAATATTCTGTATTATAAAAAATTTCTGAGTTCATAAGAATACTGAAAGAGGGAGGAGGGGTTGGGGAGTGGGGAGAGGGAGTGGAAGAGAGAGAGAAAGAGAAAGAGAGAGGTACAAATAAAGCAAAATAAATAAAACAAAACAAAAAATTTGTTTAGCACCACTGAAAGTAATAAGGGCCACTAAGACCTTACTGTAAAAATGTCTCAATACAAAAGCAGGCATTTATCCCTGTCTTTCCTCTACAAACTATTTCAAGATAACCAAATAGTTCATATTAAAGGATTCCAGCTCAAAAAATATGGGAGGAATGATCAAATTAGAGGAGGGTGGTATCGGAGGGTAAACGGGATCAAATATATGGCAGTGGAGGGAGAACTGACTGGGTGGTGAACACACAATGTGATATCTAGGTAATGTATTACAGAATTGTATACCTGAAACCTATGTAATTTTACTAACCAATGTCACCCCAATCAACTTTAATTAAAAAAAAAGTCACTTTTTGCATCCCCCATTGTATTAATTGACTCAGGCCACATTAATCACTAGATGAAAGTATTATGTAAAAGGTTGGTGAATAACTTTATAATGGAGGGTTTAGGCTATCACTAGCTGTACCCAGTATTCGATTGTACCATAATTAACAGCAAACAAACACTGTATGGTTCCGAATTTAAGGCAGTATGATACACAGAGCACCACCTGTGAAAAAGTCCTGCTGAAATGACTAGATCTGAATCTAATCAAGCTTTTGAGCTAATTCTCATTTGCAGGAAATGCAGGGCTTACTGAAACAATTTCAGTGACACTACAAGGAAGTAAATGGGCAAATCCAGAATGTGGGATATTGTATAGGACAATTAACATAGGTTCTGCAACAAATCAGGGGAATGGGGGAAAAGTGAGAGATTGCCACAGATTACAGAGAATTTAAAGGCCTATATAAAAGTAATATGTATTATGTACGATTCAAATAAACCCAGCTACATTTGGAAAAAGAAGGAAAATTGTATTATGGATTATCAGTTGATACAAGGAATCACTATTAATTTTAGGTGTCACAATGCATTGTGGTTAAGTTAGAAAGGGCCATATCATTAAAAGCCATCTCCTGAAGTACAAAAGCATGAAATTATATAATTTTGGGATTTGTTTTAAAAAATAAAAAATAAAATCAAAACCAAGAAAAATCAACAATGAAACAAACGTGAATACGATTACATGGAATCTTCATGTATTTATTTCATAAATGGTTGAAATTGTCAAAAATAAAAAATAAATAACAAAACAGATGCAAACAAAAGTATGTTCAAGGAGGCCTATGTAGAACCAGGCCTAAGCCCATAAGTCGGCTTGCTTCTACTCCCCGTCTACTCCCATCCCACTCGTCGACACTTCAATCTAGATCATATTTCCTAATGACTGTGAGACAGAGGAAGTGGAAAAGATGGTACCATTTGGGGGTCCACAACTTTAAGCCATTAGCATTGTGCTAGAGTAAAGTTTTTATCTAGTTCCTGATTTCTTTGGCAATCCTTCATTATAAATGAACTATTATTTAAGCCCCTATTGAGTCCCTTGCAAATTTCACAAATTAAAGAATAGAATAGAACAGAACAGTTTAAGCCAGGTAGTGAAAAACATATGAGAATTTTATTTTAGAATTATCACACTGAACACAGTGTAGAAGTAAGTTGAAGCTGGATTTCAGTGGGTAGAAGAGAGAAGTTGAGTAGTGAGAAGTACGAGCAAGAACAGAACACGCTTTCACAAAACTTGACAGCAAAGTAAGACAGATGAGGTGATGGTCGAAGTGAAGGCAATAGAAAGAATTTGACATAAGACAGGTGATAAATGACGGAGTAAAGTACCAGAGGAGACTGACAGATACAGTATTTATAGAAATAGAAGGACTGGCCTTAAACAAGAAAAGACAGTTTCATTGCTGGATTACATGGATTATAAAGTATGAGGGTGGAAACGGATATAGATATATAGGTATTCAGATATACCAATGGAGGGATAGAGAAGATTAGGGAGATTCAAACTGATGAATTATTTCTTTTAGGCGGTATTAGTAGCCTTATCTAAAGAAGGAAAGGTTAGTGCAAGTGATGTATGTAGGCAAGGGGAGTAGTGATGAAAGGGAACAGTTATGACAGTTGCTGAGAAGTGTAGAAAGCATTGAATTGTAAAAATATGATGGCACCAAATGGGGGCATTATGTTCTCCAGCAGAGCTCAAATCACTACTGGTTATAAGTAAACGGGGGGTGAGTACATAGTAAAAAGGCTACTAACAACTACCCATTTGCCAGTGGTGGAAGCATATTCCTTTTATACACATTAAAAAAATTTTATTTCCGTGATAAATCAGGATAAAAATTAAATAAACATGACTTGAATAAAATTAAAAAAAACCCCACAGTGATGGTGGCCTATTCTTAAAAAGGAATAAATGAAACAAAATACAATAATGAGACATAAATGTCTATATATTCAAATTCCATCGTTCTCACCAATTCGAGTGATTTTATTATGTGAAAGTTCAAGATTCTGGATACTGGTGCAGCCATCAAAACCATGGAAGGAAGTTAGTTGATTTTTATTAAGAAGAACAACACAGAGATTTTCCAAATTTTCACAGTTGATAGTCTCAATATTATTTTCCTACAACAAAGAACAAATGCTATTAGTTTTACTTCAATGGCTTATTAATGAAACATTTAAAGCTGGCAAAAAAGAAAAAAAAAGGAAGGATGAGATATGATCTCCAGATGAATATCTGAATCTCTAACTTTTAAAATAACTATGTAGAATGCTATATTATCTAGATGAAAATATTAAGTGACCTAATAAATAATTAACTGATTTTGTATTTACTAACAACAATCTTTTAAAAGATGCAAAGTACAGAGGATCATATAACAAAATATTTCAATCTAAATGAACAAGAGTGATCATTGGGTCATAGTTCTTATAGAACTGCAATTTTAAAGAAACCAAACACTGAAAAACTTTAAGTCTCCCATTATCCCTCCTCATCACTTCCTTTCCAAAGAAACACTAACATCATGAGTTAAGCAAACATCTCATGTATAGGTTTATAATTTTACTATACATGCATATCCCTGCAATGCGTAATATTGGTCTCAGTGTCCAGATCATGTGTCAAGGATGCAACAGCAATTCTCTTTTTGAAGACCTCAGAAAGATAAATGGGCTTTTAAGAAATTTAAGGGTGTAGTTCCCTGCATCTCTCTCAAAAATATGTATGAGTATAGCCTTTGTCTAATGTCCAATGGAGTGAACTTAATAAGAAGCATAAAACCCACAAAGTTATAAAAGAAAATATATTGGTAGAAGCACCACCAGTTTGAACTGAAAAGAATATAATTTAAAATGAAAAGAATCCTCTAGGGACTCCTTCACCCCCACACCGCCACGTTTCTATGTAAAAAAAAAAAAAAAAAGGCCAAGAAAAATTTTCAGCTGCAAAATGGGGCACTTTTAGGGAAAAGGGAGTATGCCTTGAGGACGAAGTCAAAAGCCCAGTGGGCAGAATCAAGAGTCATAGAAAACTATTACCAAGAGCCCTTATTAAGGAATTGATGATATCTGCTCAGCTATTGACCAAGGACTGCTATGGGTTTGTTGTTTTCTCCCATTTTGAATGAGATTGACTACAAAATGAATCAAGACTTATCTTACCACTGTATGTGGGTGTTTGTGTTGGGGGGTGGGGGGAGGGAAGGTAACTTTTCATTTTACTGCACATGTATCTGGTTGAGAGAAGTATTCAGAGCAGATCGTCTCCACTTGGATCTGATTTAGGTGAGAGGATTCCGTACTTCAAGTCTGAGTCTGATGCTGTAAGTTGATGAGATTTGGGGGTCTTTGGGACATGAAAGTATTTTGCACGTGGGAAGGATGTGACTCATTACAAGCCAGTGGGTAGACTGTGGTAGACTGTTACTTTGAAAGCCCCCAGTAAACCTCACAACCCAATACTCATACATCCACATAGTTCCCTTCCACATGAACTCAGGGCTTGGCCAGTAGAACATTAGCCAGTGCGATGGCAGTAGGTGCTTGATAAGCACTTGTATATTGGAGCTTGTTTTTTTGGATTCAGCTACTCTGTAAAGAAGTTCAAGAGAGCTGGGGTGAGGGTGGGGGTGGGGGGG